TATTTGGGGAGCTTGAAATCAATTTTTGCTTAATGAGAGGGGGTATGACTTAGTTTTGGGGCATATTTCACCCATTTCCCAGCACCCCTCCAGGTAATTTTTGCACAGTACCTTCTTAGAAACCCTCTCGTCTCAACAAACTATAATTTCATTGTCACACTGGTCAATTTAATTTTACTTTGTCATGTCAGACATTTGTCATTTAATTCATTTGCTTGTCGTGTTTGGTGTTCGCAATTCGTGGTTGTTCACACTAGTCAATTTAAAATGCTATCGTTAGACGAACCTGTTCTTAGCACGCTTAATTTTGTACTAGCTAGGGAGTTTTTGCCTTAAGCAAACCACGACGACGACGGCGGCAACGAGAACGTCACTAGACAAAAGGTTTAATAAGCAAAACAATAGCTGTGCACATGCGTTATAAATCTTTGTATGTTTCTTTGACGTTCGCTGCAAAACAAAAACGTGAAATGACTAAGTTCAGCTGCGCAGTCTGAGGAACGCGAACGACAACGGCTCCATTTGGAATTAAACGCTGTCATGATTGCATATTTAGCCTGTGCACACTCCCTTATATGGGCTCTAAAGGTATGTGTGGCCCTAAAGGGTATGCTTGTTCAGCCGTTTTGAAATGCCGGACATAAAAAGGATATCAATTTTGGCCATTTTGGTCGTGCATAGGGCATGGTGTATGGTTTTTACACGCTAGTCTTGTATTAGATATGATTTTTAGAGGAAGCTCCTTTGTTCATCATTGTTGATAAGACCATCAACCAAAGCTCTTCACAATGCCTTTAACATCGGTCTGACTCAGTGAGGTAACTAATTATAAGGCAGGTCTGAAACAGGGTATTGATTAAATAATAATGAAAAGATCAGATTATAAATAGGGTATCAAATTTTCGGCCAGGTCATAAATAGGGTAGCTAGGGAAAGTCGCAGATTTTGGTCATAAATAGGGTATGGGTATTGGGAAGCGTGTGNCCCCCCCACGTAAAGTAACTTAGTTTTTAGCCTCTTATGATCCCTTCCAGCCGGAGCCTGGCTACTGGGGACGAGGTTGTATCTGTTCGAAGCTCACAGTATAATTCTCGAGGTTCGCTCTCGGAAACTATCCGAACATATAGAGTGCGTGCACGTGACGTCATCAAATTCTCAAATCCAAAACTAAAGAGCCCCCAAAGGTTTTATCCTCATCAGGCATAAAATGTACTAAATTTATATCTGTTTACAACTTTCCAGCTCAATAGCGTCCTTCGTTTGGAAACCAGCGCATTTTGAATTTCAGAGTTATATATAATGGCGGTGCGTGACATGAAGCTAAGATCGCGTTTGTTGAAAAATATACANCTGTTTACAACTTTCCAGCTCAATAGCGTCCTTCGTTTGGAAACCAGCGCATTTTGAATTTCAGAGTTATATATAATGGCGGTGCGTGACATGAAGCTAAGATCGCGTTTGTTGAAAAATATACACTTATCTGGTGATTTTTAGCCATTTTAGGAGTTAAAGTACTAGGAAAAGTGCTTGTGTAAATGTTTTTTGGCTCGGTTCAGATAATCAGTCGTCTAGATAGCCAAAGTAAGTTCCAGATGTTTACACTATTTTCTGGTCGCCAAATATGAGGACTAAGGCGGTCCTCCAACATGGCGGCTCCATAAGTTGCGCGGAACATTTCGACGAATAACTCAACTTTGGGACAACGCACACACCTTAAACTTGGAGAATTGTCTTCTTTATTTATTGTCTATAGTGTCACAATTTCTTGACTTTCTCCACACAATGTTTTTTTTACTTATATTTTATTGCGTGACAATGCACATACTCTATTTTCGCGCCAAATAGATTGGTAGCCTCCCACGCGGCTCGTCACACGGCCCTGAAACCAATTTTCAACCTGGTTCCCAGGGTTTTTCTGACATTGAAATCCAAGATGGCGGACAGGTTCGGACAGATCGAGTGTAGTTTTCAAGCTATTACATATTTTTGCTATCAATTTACTTCTATTTTTGATAATGATGTTTCCACTATGTCGATCGCGTATCGTTTATCGAAAATATCGATTTGTAATGGTAATTTGAGTGTAGTGGACGACAAAAAACCGCTCAGAATAGTTCAAAATGGTAGTATCGCGAGAGGTCTTTGGCAAAACAGAATCCGGGGAAGAAGTCATTAAATATACCATCAAAAACAGCAATGGACTAGAGCTGGATGTGATATCGTTTGGAGCTACTTTAGTTTCACTGAAATGCCCTGATAGGTAAGGGAAAGAGTTAAATCATAGCTCGAGTAAAGTTCGAGCCCGCGTGAAGTGAAGCTCGAGTACAATCATTTTTGATTCACTTTTCCTTTTTTCTTACAATATGTATCGCTTGACTACAGTCGTTGTTATCGAAAAAGGTTAAAAATGATTGTCAGGATTGACGCGAAACAGCGCGATCGCGGAGCTAATATAATTTTGAAACAACATACATGTAACAGGGATCCATATTGGTTTTTCTCCAACACGTCAGGCGAGCAAGTATGTCAGATGACATACTTGCCCAGGCAAAATTCTGCTTGCCCGTTCAATAGGGAAGAAATGGAAAGTTTATTTTGTTTTTATTTTCACATGACCATTCTCACAGAACATTGTGTCCCCAGTTGAGGCAGATGATATTGGCAATGGTCAGTCAGCGGACACAGTGAGACGATCCAACTACTTGTAGGTACAAATGAAGACCAAGGCCTCTTCATCTGCATTGTACATTGGAAAGAACGCTTTTGCTCTACTTGCTTGTAATTGAATTGTTTTTCCGAAGTCCTTTTAAGCAACATTACTAAACACCACATCCTGATCAATACAGAGCGTCAGTGTTTGAGAAAATGAAAATTGCACCACAGGCATCCCAAACTCATGATTCAAGGTGTCGATCAAATATTAATGATTTGTGGCTGCATATCGAGTGAGACGTGACTGCCTAAAGTGTGCAGTGTTGTGTTACACATTGCGCTGTTGAGCATTTGAGCGCTCTACAAGGCACCTGAAAACCCCCCAAAAATTACGAAATAGGCCAAATGAACAACAGAAACTGGGTAAGGTGAGTTTATTTTCTTTACTTTTATTCAAAAAAGGAACATTTTATTTCATCGTGTCATTTTATCCTTTATTATTTTAAATTCCATACAATGCCTTGTGGAGTGCTCAAATTCTCTACGGCCAACGTGTGACACAACATGGCGCACTTTAAGCAGTGACATCTTACTTGATATATGTCCATAAATCATTAATATTTGAACGACTCCTCGAGTTGTGAGTTTGGGATGTCTGTGATTGACCCTGCAATGATTTCACTCAAGACATGAAAAATATTGCA